CATGATTCAGCAAGACAAAAGAAGGGGAAAGGAATGATTGGGGGGGATATGAGCTAAAGTGGTGGAGTGAAATGAGAAGAGGGAATTAAGGAGAGGGACAGGATTTGGGTGTGGATAGGCCAAGAGCTAGGCATGGTGGACAGGAGCAGAAGGGGAAAAGGAGAGGCATAGGAACAAGAGCAGAAGAGCCACTAATCATTGCAGTTCACTGGAATTAAACTCATTATTCTTAACATTTCTTTTGCTGCCTACAAAATATGCGTGAAAGCCACTGGTGAAATTTCTCATTTCCCTGTAGCAATCAGTTCTACATCAGAACATAGGCTTTTACAGCTATGAATTGTTCTGTTATCTCCCATGGCAAAGGACTGCGTAAGTCTGACTTATTCAATGTACACAAGACTGCTCAGGAGATGAATGTCCGTTTTGTAGTGAATTAGGCTGTGGTCTTTAGGACCTTTGCTTCATTTGTCACAGAATTTGGAAGGTGTGTTGTGAAAAAAGCAGGGGACTGCTGGACAATGGTTTTCTGTAAGGTTGTTAAAGACTAGTTGACTATCCGATAAGCATTGCTTATCGGATAGTAATGTCGACTAGTCAATTCCCCGACCCCCTTTGCTGCCTCTATGAAATACAGGCAGCACAGGGGAGGGAAGGGTACTTCAAAGCGGCAGCACCACACAGTGGTGCTACCACTTTGAAAACGCAAAGGCAGCAGCTGCACAGGTAATCCTGGGATCAACTGTGTGGCAGGCTGCCCCTTTAAAATACCACCTCTGTGGAGATTCAAAGGGGCAGCCCTGGAACCCAGGGTCAGCTGGGGACTCCCGGGGAAGTGACGTGTGGAACCTGGGGTCAGCTGGGGAGTCTCTAGCTGATCCCGGGTTCACGGAGAGCCTGGGCTCCCCTACTGCCCCTTTGAATCACGTGGAGGCAGCAGTTTCAAAGGGATAATGGTCACACAGCTGATCAGTTGTGCGGTGTCTGCCCCTTTGAAACCGCCACTTCGGTGCAATTCAAAGGGGCAGGAGGGCAGCCCGAGCTCAGATGGGGACTCCCAGCTGACCCCAGGCTCCCCACAGTATTTCTCCAAGACCAGCTGTGGAGACCCCAGCTGACCTCAGCTCAGATGGGGACTCCCAGTTGACCCCAGGCTCCCCACAGTATTTCTCCAAGACCAGCTGTGGAGACCCCAGCTGACCTCGAGTTCTAGGGAAGTGCCGCGTGGAACCTGGGGACTCCCCAGCTGCTCCCAGGCTCCCCTGCCTCCCCTCTGAATCATGCAGAGGCAGCAGTTTCAAAGGGCCGATTAGCTGTGCAGCCACTGCCCCTTTGAAACTGCCATTCAAAGGGGCAGGCGAGCCCATAGCATGGAGCCTGTTGAGTCCCCCACTGAACCCGACCTCCATGGCTTTGAAATGCACAAGAGCCCCCACTGGGGCTCTTGTACATTTCAAAGGAGGAATGTGGAAGTGCCTATCAACTAGTCAATTGACCGCATTTTAACATCCTTAGTCTTGTGGTTAAGACAGTTGAATGTCTCACTAGTGTATTAGATTCTATCCCTTCCTCAATCACAGAATTCTTGTGTGATTCCAGGCAAGTCACTAAACCCAACATTTTCGCATTTGGCTTCTTACTGTGTGTGCCTCATTTTCTTGATCCCCAATAATAGACACTTTGGGCCAAATTTGCAGAAGTGTGTAGAATTCATGATTACAAGTGATGTCAGTGGGAACACCAGTCTGAACATATACAGTGCCATAAAATACTAAGTACTTTCTCAAGTTGGGCATCCAAAAGTAGACGTTATTACATTTTTATCCTAGGTAACTCTCATAGTTTCCTCTAAGGTGCGCACCTGCGTGGCTGCGCACAAAAAAATCTAGGCCTGTCCACCTCCTTTGCAGAGCCGTGTAGCCGCACTCCCCACTCACGTTCCTGCTGGAATATGAGTGGTGGGTTCTTGCTTGGTGGACGCCACACAGCTTGGCTAGCGGGGCCATGGGAGCCAGAGCACTCAGAAACGTTGGTGGGCAGTTGGAGCAGCCTCACGACAGCCCCGATTCCGGTTCCAGCTCCAGTGGCAGCCACGCAGCCCGACTGGAGCTGGGTCTGGTGAAGTTGTCCCTGCTGGGGCAGCCTTACTGCGACCATGGTTCCAGCTCCAGCAGCCTCATGGCCTGGCTGGCAGGGCCACATGGCGGGTGACTGCCCCAGCTGGAGCTGGGCATGGTAAGGCTTTGGTGGGCGGCTGGAGCGGTGGCTGTGGTGAGGCTGTCCCTGTTGGTGCCACGTGTGCTTGGACTGGAGCCGGGGCTGTGATTGCTTGTAAATAGGTAAGGATCTCCTCCCCCTTCTGTCTTGCTCAGTGTGGGGTTTTCTACCCCATTACAAATGTCTGTGGCATTAAAAATATGTATTCAGTTATGTGCAAAGTTAGCATGAATCTTTAGAACAGAGCTTGGATTAATATGTTTTTATAATATATACATCAGTTTTATAGATAAAACATTCAAAGGATTCCATTAAACTTCTTGTTTATTTTCCTAGAACATTAAATCATACTTATATCAGTAGATAAATTAATTTAAATATTCTGTGACTTTACCAGCAATCTTAAGTGCAGAATTGTGAATCTGATCCTCTTTTTCTTTAACTTGTTCTTTTTTACAGTTGTATTTGATACACAAAGCATGGGGCATTGTTTAACCTGAATGAGTACACTTTTGGGTTCAATAACAGTGTAAAGAAAATAAGAAAGATTTCTTTTGATAAGTACAGATTTAAACTATATAAGAATTTAAATGTTGAAATTAAGACCCTGATTCAGAAATGCACTTAATTGTATACTTAAATTCAGTTGAAGTCAATGCAATTTAATCATGTGTTTAAAGCTAATCATGTACTTGAGTGTTTTGCTGTGTAGGGCTGGAAACATCAGCTTTTGATTTCAGAAAAATATTTAATGATCTACTTAAAATTAATTTAAACAAAGTGTACATCTCAGTTTTAACAATTGCTTGATCTAAAAAGAAAGTATTGCAAACCTGAATTGAGTTGCCAGAGTGTCCGGTTTTCACCCGGACAGTCTGTTATTTCTGGCCCCTGTCCGGTTAAAAAAACCCAGAAAATACCAGACATGTTTCTCTCGGACGGAAGGCTGGCGGGGACATTCTTCCCCTGCTGCATTGGGGGTGACAGGCACGCAAGCGAGGAGCGCAGTGACTTTTTTTTTTTTTTGCTCAACAACTTTGGTTTTTTTGCTATACTAATGTGATTCACAGATACAATAATCTATAATATGCTAAATCTGAAACAGAAATATTGTTTGTATTGTAACCATTTAAACAGCAGCCACATGTCGTACCACAATAGAGTGTTGTGAACTTCCTCTGAAGTCAATGTAGTTGGTGAGAGGTGGGAGCAGAATGTGAGAGAGGCCTTTGTGTAAGGTTGTTTAATGCTTTGATTAGTGGCTAGAGCTGAGAATTCAGGGCCAGATTCTTTGCTGGTAGAAGTTGAAATCAGTGGAGCTAATGTGATTCACACCTGCTGAGGATCTACAAGTCTGGAGAGGCAAAGAGAGACAAAACAAGTCTGATGCAGAGGAGCTGGGGCCAGGACCTCATGGTGGCTGCCCAGCTGCTCCTGGAGAGGGCTGTGAGGGTTAATTGGGTTAACATTACTATTACTGTAAACTGTATATGAATTGTATTATTTATTTTGGGAAGCTGACAAAGGAAGAGGAGAAACTTGCATATCTAACTGGAACTATTTTGGATTCTAGCTGTGATTCACTGGGTAGTGCCTTTTTGGAGCTACAGTGGAGTATTAATTTTCTTATTATTTGATTTTATATTAAATAAAGATTTAAACTCATGCATTTTGTTAATTATCCCTTGTTTTAGTATTTTCTTCCATAACATTTTAAAAATATATAGATCTGAGATATTTGTTATAATTGGTGTATGCCATGATTGTACATATCCAGGCAAGCACACATGACCTCAATAGTAGTGCACAAGATAAAACACACTCTGCTCATGGCTCGAAAATCTTAGTGAAAACACTGGTCTCCATCCCTTAGCTCACCGTGTCTAAAATGAGCATGATAGCATCAAGTCTCATAGGGACATGAATGTTTGTAAAGACCTAAGGTATTATAGTGAAAGTACCACAGGAAAGCCTTAGGAAAATTAATAGTTCTTTGTTGTGGGCTGGCTTTAGATTAAGTGCAATACATAGCATATGGGTCACACACCGAAGTATAAGCCTAAAATTAAATATTGAATAGCTGCCCAGTCAGGAAGTACTGGCTATGGGTATGTCTAGTTTACATCCCTCTGTTACCATTCAGGAAGCACTGGCTATGGGTATGTCTAGATTACGTCCCTCTGTTACCAGAGGGATGTAAATTAGACATACCGACATTGCAAATGAAGAGGGGATTTAAATCCGCCATGCTTCATTTGAATAAAAATGGCGGCCGTGTTTTGCCGAGTCAGCAGTTTGTCAGCAAAAAGCAGCTGTCAAGATGGGGATTGGGCGACAAAGAAAGCCTTTGTTGGCTAATCCCTTATGCCTCGTAAAATCAAGGTTACAGGATTCTAGACTGGCGCTTTTTTCCGGCAAAGCTCCAAGCCGGAAAAAAGCGGCAACCATTTTTATGCTAATGAAGTGGGGTGGATTTAAATCCCCTCTTCATTTGCAAAGTGGAAACCTAGTTCTGCCTTGGACAGACAAAGATGAAGGATGCTTGCATCATGGCTCAACCTCTGATAAATGGGATGGAGGGATATAGGAGAAGAAGCGGTGCTATCTATCGCTAATTTAGAACGCACCATTTGTGAATTATCATCCTTTTTTGGTAATGTAATTGTGTCATATTGAATGTAATCATTTTGCTTTCAGTTATTTAGCTTAATATGAACTGGGACTCGGATTGAATAGTCACACATTACTCTAATTTGTCTAATTGTAGACCAAGCATGGCTGCTAAAGCCAATGGGAATAGGGGACTGTGATGAGCATCCTGAGGCTCACTGGCAGGAGGCAACAAGGTTTCTGAGGCTTGTGATGTAAGAAAGCCGATATGAGCAGGTGAAGGGATCCCCATTCACCAGGAATCCTTAATGGGTTCTGGGGGCCAGTGAGGTACTGAAGAAAGGCAGCTGTAGACTGAGAGTAAAAGAAGGGGGGGTATAAGGTGATCCTCCCTTCTCCTCCCCTCACACATCCCTCACTCCTGAACTTAGGTGCTCCTAGTTCATTTTACTGCTCACCACCATTCCTGCAGAATTTAGGAGTACAGTCCAAGTCCTATGTACAGTAGGAATCCGAGAGGATCCCTGATTCTGAGTATCTGGGGAGAGTCACTGGATTTCCTATCCTCATCTGGTGAAGATGATACTGGTTATCTGGTGACTTTGCAGCCAGCAGGCTCAGGTGGCATTCACTGCACACTGTCTGGAGACCTTCCAATTTTTGCACTTCTTCAGCTCATAGGAATATTTGGCTTTCCTCCCACAAGCCTATTGTTTCTTTAAAAAAAACCCAGAACATTTAAGGCGTATTGGAGATCACAGGCATATATATTTGGGTTAAGTGAATGTTACCTCAAGAATGCTAATCCACACACAAAAGCAAATGCAGTTAGGTTATGCTTTTTAAATTGTCATCCTAATTTGTTTAATTCAGCCTTGATAGTGATTAATTTGGAACATTAAAAACTTATCTTTCCGTATCCCTGTGTAGACCATACTAAATTTTCATTTTTAATAATGACCATAAAAACAAGAGTCACTTGATTATTTATTGGTTGTGCCACTTAATGACATTGCTTGTCATTTGTGGCACATACAAAATAACATTGCAAACTCCTGGTTTGATAAACTGTATATTGAAGGTAGTCTTTACTCACTTGTCATTAAGGGTCTAATTCTGTCATATGCTCAGAGCACATAACATGAAATGCATAGCACCTAATAGGCTCAGTCTTTATGGGGCTTGTGGCAGCCAGTTTTCCAGATGTCACTAGACACAAAATGATGTGTATACAGATTTAGCAGGCCCAGATTATTAGATTACTCACATGAAATGAGCAAAGATTATTGTAGTAACAAAGCAACAGTAGAGATGTGTCTAGAGATGAAACATAAATCTAGTGTTAAAATAATGCATGCCTTTAACACTCCACATCCAAAAGAAACAATGAAGGTATGCTTTTGTCTCATGGGCAGAGTTTGAGAAATCCAACTTTAACTCTCTTTTTCCTAGATTTCCACTTTAACATTCCAGAAAGGTAAGATGCATCCAAACCTTAACTTTGCCTTACACTATTTTCCATGTCTCTCTGGGGTCCTGGCTTGATTGAATCCCAAGGCAGTCAAGAGAACAAAGCTATATAAAGTCAAATTTTCCTTTTACTTCAATGGAAAGTAACACCTGTAAGTTTCTTAATGTTTGTCTATATGGGGAAATTGATTAATATAGCTATAGTGTAATAACTTTTTCACTACAGCAAAGTAATTATTCTGCTGTAGCCAGGCTATTACAATGTCCCTGTGTGGGCATGCTGTTCTGGAATAAACATGATTTTACTCTGGAACAGACTGCCCATGCTGAAAAGTCACACCAGTATAACTACAGTGGAATCCTTATTTTGCTATTGATGTGCTAGTCTACACAGGGAAATTGACTAGATCTTTTTGCTAGCTGATGCTCTAGGAATCCATAAACACATGAATATAATCCTGTAAACAAAGATTGCAATATTATTAGCTATTCTGTAGATAACAAATATGTTATGTATATGTTCTGTTGTGTTTAGGTAAATCAGAGACAAGTAACTGAAAAAAGTGAATGAGTGGGTCTCTGTAATACACTACTCTCTTGTACACTATGTAGCTCTAGAGTGGCATTATTATTGCATCAGCCTAATTGATTTAAACAATATATTTAATATGTTAATCTGTTAAGATATGCACAGGTTTTTGTGTTATAGATGTAGTAGGCATTGAAATATTGAAGAAGTTACATTGCAGACAGTTATGACGCTAGGGTATTCTTTTGTATGCTTTCTTTTATTTAGAAAAAAGGGCAGATGGGCTCAGGTTACCTTGTTTTGCCTTTTAGCAAAACCTCAGTTGCACTTTGCCTTTTTCAAGTGACAAAGAAAACTGTCTTTGATTCTGACTTCCTAACTTAGTAGTATGGAGTATTTTACACTTGCTAAATTACTATACCCTCTGATAGTCTCCATTTTGGCTTTTATAGATTCCGTGGCCTTTGTGATCATCTAGTTTGATCTCATGTACCGCATGGTCCTTAGAATTTCCCAAAATATGTTCTAGAGCATAGCTTTTAGAAAAAATCCAATCTTGTTTTAAAAATTGCCAGTGATAGAGAATCCACCATGACCCTTGTAAATTGTTCCAATTGTTAGTTACTGTCACTATTTTTTTTCTTTAAGTCTTATTTCCTGTCTGAATTTGTCTAACTTTATCTTCTGGCCATTGGATTGTATTATAACTTTTTTGAAATAAATTGAAGAACTGACTATCAAATATTTGTTGTTCTTGTAGGTACTTACAGACTGTAATCAAGTCCCCCCCCTTTAACCTTCTCTTTAAGATAAATAGATTGAACTCCTTGAGTTTATCACTGTATGGCATATTTTCTAATCCTTCATGGATCTCTGCACCCTCTCCAGTTTATCGGTTTCCTTTTTGAATTGTGGACACCAGAACTGGACACACAGTATTCCAGAAGCAGTGTCACTAGTGTCGTATGAGGCAAAATAACCTCTCTAATTCTGCTCAAGATTCCCCTGTTCATGCAGCCAAGGATTGCATTAATCCTTTTGGCCACAGTGTCTCATTGGGAACTCATGTTTATGTTGATTATACACCATGACACCCAGTTTCTTTTCATAGCCTCTGCTTCCCAAGATAGAATCCCCATCTTGTAAGTATGGCTTATGTTCTTTGTTCCTAGTTATATACATTTATAGTTGTACATATTAAAATGTACACAGTTTTCTTGCGCCTAGTATACCAAGCGATTTAGATCGCTTTGTATCAGTGACCTGTCCTCTTCATTATTTACCACTTTTCTAATTTCCATGTAATCTACACACTATGGCTACGTCTACATTGGCCCCTTTTCCGGAAGGGGCATGCTAATTTTTCAGATCGTAATAGGGAAATCCGCGGGGGATTTAAATATCCCCCGCGGCATTTAAATAAAAATGTCCGCCGCTTTTTTCTGGCTTTTAGAAAAGCCGGAAAAGAGCGTCTACACTGGCCCCGATCCAGCCCGATCCTCCGGAAAAAAGCCCTTTTCCGGAGGATCTCTTATTCCTACTTATTCCTCCGGTAGCTCTTTTACAACTCTTGGATACAAATTATGTGGATCTGTTCATTTTAAAGCATTCAGTTTCAGTAGCTGCTGTTTAACATCATTCTGAGATACTAATGGTAACTTTCTTTCTGTTCCACATGATATGGCTATCTATCTGTTTCTTTCTCTACCCTAAACACCTCCATCTTTTCTGCATTACTACTGATAAATCTATCATTTTCATATACTAATGGGCCAATACTATTGTTAAGATTCTTGTTCCTAATATACTTTAAAAAAATCCATACTGTCTTTAACTCAGAGAGATCTCCTTGTATCCCTTTGCAGACCTTACCAATATTCAATTATTTCTAGCTTCCGATTTATATTAACTGCTTTAAACATTTCTTTTCTTTTCTTTTTTTTTTAAATAACTGCCTTCACTTCCACTCCAAACTAGGTGGATTTTTTTTAACCAATATGAGGTCCTGCCTCAAATTGTGATTGTGGCTTTTGGAACATTTTATTAGGGTCTCTTAAATAATTCCCAATTATCATTCACTTTTCCCTGATTAAATTCTTCTTCCCACCTGACTTCGCTCAAATATTTTAAATTTTGTCATGTTGATCCTTCTAAATACCAAGCATATATATTTCTGACCTGGAGTAGGGATGTTCAATGTCGGTTAATTGAATATTCAATTAATCTCATGAATTCTTATTGGTTACTTGACTATTCTATAGTCCCCAGAGGTGGAGCCAACAGATGGCGCACTCTGGCCCCACTTCAGGGAGCCCCCTGCCACTCCACCCTGCTGCCTCTAGATCAGAGGCAGCAGCTCAGGGTGTCAGGTGGGAGTTGGTCTATGAGGGGAGGCCAGTTTAAAAAACTGCTCGCCTCGCAGACCGGCTGCCTGTCACCCACACTGTTGCCTCTGATAAAGAGGCAGAAATGGGAGGGCGGGGGAGGGAGGGGACTGAGCTCCGGGACCCAGTGTGATCCAGAACTGAGCCAGCTGCCAGCCTGCCTGGCTCCTAATACACTTTAAATGCAGAGCTACAGAGGGGGAATATCCTGGACCCAGAGCAAGCCAGGACTGAGCCGGGCTGCTGGCCAGTCTGCTTAAAAATGGATTGATGGCAGTGGAGGGAGAATGCATGTAGTCTATAGCATTAACCTACAAGCTTTTGCTTATTGGTTAATAGACTACACTATTACATCCCTAGTCAGGACTTTATTCAGTTGCACACCAAAAATGTAATCAAGTCATGATCACTTGTATCCTAACTGCCATTCATTTTTAGTTTATGACCAATTCCTCTTTATATGTTAAGATGAGGTCTTGTATAGAGTTCCCTCATGTTGGATGCATCACTTCTTGAGTTAGGAAACTGTCATCTATACTAGTTAGAAATTCCAAGAATATTTTAGTGCTGGCAGCATGAGACGTCTAAAATATGTCACTCAGATTGGAAAAACTCATATTCTGTTTTTCTGTCTGTAGAAAACACCAACTAATACCCATCTTGTACTTGATCTGTTAGAATATTAATCTATAAACATTCAGGATCGTTTTCTTCCAAGTTATCAGTAATTCAGAAATAGGTAATGGCGCCCTTTATAAAAAATGTCACTCCTGCTTTCCTTTTGCCCATTTTATCTTTATTAAACCGGTGGTAACCATTGATTTTTAATATTTGAATCATGTTAATCATCCTACCAGGTTTCAGTAATACCATCTAGACTGAATTTATGCTAAAAAAATGAGGAATTTCTCGTTACCTAGGGTTCTAGTAACAAGAATTTCTTCTCTTTGTTTCTCTGTGTTCTCAACGTCTTGAGTCTATGTGAAACGAGTGCTCATATCTGACCTCTTTTTTACCCTCTTTAAGTCTTGCCTTATTTCTAGGACTACATGAGGAATAACATTTAATTTTTAAAAATCTTGGCAATATAGACTCAAGTCCAGGCTTAACACTATCCCAAGCTACGGGTTGTCCATTTCCTCTGCACTTCATTCTCCCCCTTCTCCTACTTCCCTCTACTATCTTTATCGCCAGAAAGCCCCTTAAAAGTACATCACATGCAAGCTTCTTCCAGTCCTCCATTTTCTCATCTGATGTCTCCTAGAGGAAAATAGTGGTCTGTGAAATTCCTCGAGTACCTTCACAAGAAGGTCTGCACAACTTTAACCCCATGTGATGCCTTCCCACCAACACTATTATTTCCTCCGATGGCACCTGGTCTCCACACTTTAGTAGCACTCTTTCACCTGTATCTTGTCTTCTTTAGACTCCTTTCCCAGCTTACAGTTGATGTCTTATATGTGGAAGGGTTTAGAGACTGTTTTTAATTCCTCAAGGAGTAGCGTTAACACTCCCCCATAGAGTAGAATAGCCCACAACAATACATACAACACGTATAGATAACATTAAGCTAGTGCAATAGTCTCCAGATATACATGTGGTTGCAGTACTGAGGACACAGGTTCTCTTTCCACAAAGACAACAGTGGGGAGTTGCAGAAAGCAAGGTGTCCAGCTCTTAGGGAGGTGGGGCATTGGTGTATAAAGGGCGAAAATACCATGAGCCACTGTGCCCTCCTCATAGTTTATCCCAAGAATCAAACTGGCCCTTTGACGTATTGGTTGTACATAGACACAATGAAGTTCTAGATCTCAAATCCAACCATTTCAATTCTATTTCCAAACTTAATTTTGGGGTTTGTCTTTTTTCTAATAATAAGGAAGGTGTTTTTTTTTAATTTAGCTTGAATCAAACATGGAATCTTGAATAAGTGAATAGTTTTAAATCACAACTGTGTATTAAAGAATCACCACTTCTGTATGGCATTAACATGTTGACCATTCCCCTGAGATAAATTTATGTTCAGTAAAACTTACTCTTAGGTTAATTGCCTTTTTCAATTGTGTTTTCAGGAATCATATTTTCTGCGTACATTTTCATAAGTTCTGCACCCGTACTCTTTAAAACTAGCATTTAATATGTCAGACATGGCACTTAAAATTGAATTAATGTAAAGAAAGTTTATAAAACTGCTTTGTAAATACAACCTACCAGGCTCTGTGCATATGGAATGAATAATTCCTAATATTACATGATGTATATCTTTCATATAGTAAATCATTTTTCTGCTAACAGTTGTTGAACTTATTTTGAGAAAGTACTGTTAAGATAGATATTAACAAAATGATGAATAGTTCTTGGCTGTGTTTGATTTCTTACGGAAGGGCTTCCTTTAAGATAGTACACAGTTGTGCCTATTTGCCATCACTAGATTTATTTTGGAATTTGCCTTGCATTGCTTCAGCATATGGATGTTGATCCAGAGAGTAAAATACAAAGCTTCCATGTATAATGAAGGAAAAGCTGTACAGTATTTGTTTTCTTTTGCTAGAACTATCAAAAAGAACAGCGGAGGTTGGAAGATGAGGGCAAGTCATCAATAAAGACTGAGCAGTTTATTCTTATATATATACACACACATTTTCACCCCCAAATAGAAATGGTAGAAAAAAATTAATGGACATTTTATTCTGTTTTCTGGAAGAATTTTTTTTTTCATTTCCAGCTGATAAGCTATTTGCCAATTTTTTTTATTTCAGTCTGAATTTTTCCTTATTGATTCCTAGGTGTGGATGTGCTATCTTGTGCACCAATGAGCCTGGAATTCAATCTGCCGGAATAAGACAATGGCCTCTACATCTATTTGAAAGAGAGGGGTGAGCAACGTCTTTGCAACTGGTACTGTGCTAACTCCTTCTTTAACAGGCAGTGTGTAGATGGAGGCAAATGCCATTATATTTTTAATGAAAAATTAAGTCTGTTACTTGATATTTCTCCTGCCCTGTACTATATTTTTTTTTTACTTTGCTGTCTGTGAAGGTTTGCTATGGATGTAAGTTTTAGTAGAAAATCTTAAACCTGTTTTAGTATGTTTTAAATCTGAGATGGTAGTTAAATATGCAAGAGTAGATTCTTTTTTGAGTAGTGCATGGTCCACCTGTGTACATGTGTCTGCATCTCTGTACTTAGAATCTGAAATTTTCAGTAACAATGCACATGAGCTTCCTCATACTCCTGTCTCATGCTGTGAACAGCAGCTATTTACTTCTTTGAGTGCTTGCTCATGTCCATTCCAATCAGGTGTGTGCACGCTGCATGCATGGAGTTCCAGAGCCTTTTTCCCCTAGCAGTATCCATAGGGCCAGCATGGGGAGCCCCTTGGAGTGGTGCTGGCATATCAGTGCATATATACCCCTGCTGGCCCCTCACTCCCTCAGTTCCTTCTTACCGCCTGTGATGGTAGCTGGAGCACTTTAGACAATCAGTCTACCCCTAGCTTTGTGTAATTAGTTACGTTTCTGGTAGTTTTTAGTTTATAGTGTAAATAGTTTGGTTACAAGTTGGTTATAAGGGGGATTGTTATCCTCTACTCCTCTCCCCGGCCAGGGAGGGGATGCCAGGGCCCCACAACTTTAAGTACTTACCTCATTCCACTGTAATGAACCCATATACTTACCCGTCTTCCTCCCTAAAGCTCACAAGAACCACAGTGAAAGAGTGCTACACACCCTCAATGTCCATAGGGGAGTCCCCATCTACTTACACCGTACAGAGCCCTTTTGCAAATCTCCACGACTTTGTGTCCTTTACAGAGAGATCAGAAGGGTTACCCATATCCAAACAAAGACTGTCTAAATGGATCTTGGGCTGCATACATCTAGCTTACAACGTATTCCAAAAAGAGCCTCTGGCTACCATACAGGCTTACTGCACAAGAGCAATGGCAGCAACAACAGCTTTCCTAAGGGGCATACTAGCAGAAGAAATCTGCAAAGCTGCCACATGGGGTTCAACACATACCTTCATGCAGTACCATGCCATCCAGTTGTTTGCGGCTATGCGTTTCGGCCGAACGATACTTGCAGTTACTGAGTCAAATTCACTGAAGCGCCCACCACCAAGCATGACCACTGCTTTGTATGAAGCACCATTGGGACACTCCTTGAAGAAGAAGAAGGGATTGTTACCTGGTACAGTACCTGGAGTTCTTCGAGATGGTTGTTCCCTTCGGTGCTCCACCACCCACCCTCCCCTTTACTTCAGCTCCAACTACATCTGGGTCAGAGAAGGAACTGAAGAGGCAGTTGGCTGTGTGTGCAGGATAGCTGTTTCAAATGTTGCGTGCTGGCTTTCCGCATGTACAGCCAGCTGGAGGGGCACTTCTGTTAAGTCTCCAACTAGAGGTGCAGTGGTGCTGGAACACCTCCACCTCAAGTGGAGCACCCATGGGGACAACCATCTCAAAACTCCAGTTACTGTAGCAGGTAAGTAACCTTCCCTACTCACCCTGAGACTTTGAGATATGTGTCCCTGTTGGTGCTCCACTGTCTGCCCTCCACCCTGTTGCTTTGGAGTTCAAACACAGACTCCGCAGTATAGAAGAACTGGTTGCAGTTGTTGGACTGCAGTTGTTGGACTGCACAGTGCTATATAGCTGTCACTCTTGGCATGAGTTTTGGCTGACAGGCAGAGTACATGTGTGGTCCAATGGGCACCGTTACTGAATATTTCCAATCCTAGGCATAGGGACACAGAGAGCACCTATAAGGACACAGCTCTCAAAGAAGCTTAGTCACTGAACAGGGTGAATAACATTTCTTCTTTAAGTAGTGTCTCTATAGGTGCTCCTCATTAGGTGACTAGAACAGTGCTGCCTCCTATGAGTTAGCTGGAAGTATGAAGGACTTAGGTGCCAGGTTACTAAAACAGCTTTATGGATCTTTTTTTTTCCCATCTGTAAAGTGGTGCTAATACTTTATTCTTTGAATGCAATCCCTGTGGGTGCTCCACTTAAGGTGTCGGTGCATCTTGATGCCATTGATTGCATATTTTCAGTAGCAGAATCTATCTGGGCTGTGCATGTGCAGTAGTTGTCTCGGGGCACCATTGGCACTTAATCTAGTGCATGCATGACCCAACCCTTTGAGTTTATTCTCAGCCACTCTGGCCTGAGACAGAGCTCTGTGGCAGTGTCCCAACATCTCTCACATAGAGAAACATAATTAGAAATAGTTTGTCTTGTCCTAGTGTGTTTGGTTAGTCTTAGTTGCTAAACAAACAAACACAAACAAACAATAAATGCTTTCCTCAGAGCACAGTCCACTTAATCCCACTCAACAGGGATTTAAAAGATGCAGCTCATGCCACAAACCTATGCCCATTTTAGATGGTGATTCTGCATTTATACCTCAGGGAGTTGCATGTTCCCCAGAAGTTCATTCACTACAGCCGCTTGAAAGCAAGGATCAGGAAGCATCTAGACCGCTACCTAAAGCTTATTTAGATGGAGAAATCTCTGTAATGGGCCTTTGATCCAAGGTGATAAATTCCTTCCACAAGGGCTCTCTGGCTACCTTCACCTCAACTAAGGACAATGTTCATTTCTCTAAAAGATTGAGGAAAAGAGCCCATCAAATCACTGCAGGGAGAGACAAATAAGAAGAAACTGTGTTCTGCCAAGTCACTTTCTTCAGTTCTGGCCACCCCACAGGTGAGCACTTTTGAGGCACCAGACACTTCTGGCAATGTCTACACTGAGACCTTGAAAGGACAAGGAGTCAAGACACATGTCTAAAGGTCTCCTCCTGCACAGCATTGACTACATTGGTGAGAAATATGGCACCAAAGTCCTCACCAACAACACCAGCACCAACAACAGAGTGAAGACAACTCCATTCATACCAAGCAAGTCGAGCCACAAGTCGTTGGCACAGTCCACGATGCCATCTAAAACAAAATCAGTACCGACTGCCAAAATCAATGACACCACACCAGTTCTTACAGTAAAAAGATATATCTCAGTCTCTTTTCAATAGTGCAGTCTCCGCTCTTCAGCATCAATGGCTGGCTCCCTTGAGCATACTTCCCCAGGTTAATCATCCTTTCCCACTGTCCCACCATTCTCAAATGATGAGGGCTATCAAGAGGGAAGAGCTTGCCTTCTCTTCACACTACTCTTCACTCACAGATTGCAAACCACACTGGGGACCCATTAAATCAAAACCCTCTTATGGACAAGACATGCAACTTTGGTATGGCCAACCATGGATGTGTCCATCTTTGTCCTTTCCCATATATTGGCCAGTCTGGGACCCAAGGACATCATCCAGGGCTCATTACAACAGACTTTCAACCCCACCCAGAGGCAAAGTAAGGTCACCACCACAGTCGTCCATATTGGAGACCCTCAGAAGCCGAGGAGGAAACTGAGGGTGAGAGAGAAGAGGGCACGGAGCAGGACATAACATCACTTGGGCATAACCCTTCTTTATTGCTACACAAAGCCATAATGCCCTCACCTTCCACTATGGCAGATGATATCAAACAGTTCAGAAGGGTAGCACAAAGTCAGAAGATCACATTTGAGGATGTGCAGGACACGCAGCACAAATTTCTCCAGTTTCCCCAGAGATTGTGTGACTTCTAAAATAATGCTGCCTATAAATGATACTATGGAACACGAGGAAACCATTTGGTAAACAGCAGCCACTGCCCCCCTCATATGTATGAGGGTGGAAATATTACATGCCCAACAAAGTTATTTACTTTCTTTTTTTCCTCATCTACCTTCCCTGCCCAACTTCCTAATAGTAGAGTCCACAAACCAATGCAGCAAACCACAGTACAGGACCACTCCACAGGACAAAAAGAGCAAGAGACTCAACCTCTTTGGGTGAAAAGACTATTCTTTGGTTACCCTGCAGTTCTGACTTGCAAACTACAGTGTGCTTCTTGCCAAATATGACTACAATAATTATGGCAAACTGAATGAATTAATTAATGATCTCCCAGAGGAGAGGCATGCACAACTGAGGGACAGCTGGCTACCAGAACAGCCATGTCAGACATGGCAGCAAGAACAGCCAAAAGCATAGTATTGCACAGAGCATCATGGCCGCAATCCTCAGGATTTCTAAAAGATCCCCAAGTAAAAGAGGATGATCTCCCAATTCAACAGAGGAAAAAAAATTCTTTTCTAAAACCAATAAGATCCTCCACTTGATGAAAAAATTCCCATGTGACCTTCCATATTCTCAGGAGATTTTTATGTATATTAACAGGCATTCCAATTCAGCAGAAACACCTAATTCCAGCATCAGAAGCAACAATATGAACCCCACAAGACACAGGCAAAGACCATAGAGACATAAAGCATTTAAAATCAGCTTCTCAGCTTTACAATCTGTGTAGTTAAAGCCTTTGAAATTTGGTTGAGGGACCTTCCTCATCAGATGGGCAAATACCTGCTACAAACCAGACCTTTGGCCACTGCTTCTGTTCTTTTTAATATGTCTGGGTGTCAATCATTATGACAAATAGGGTTTAGAAATCCCTTTTTAACTTAGGTGGAAGGCATTATGGAAATCTCTAGTGATGTGATGTGCAATGATTCCCAGTCTTTTCAAGTATATGGACCCCTTTCCAATTTATTAAAATTTCACGGACCCCCATGGGGGAGAGAAAAAGAAAAGAAAAAAGGGAGGGAGAAAGTAAGGATTGGGCCCACCGCTCCTTATTTTTAAACTTTCCATGGACTCACTGCAATATTGTCACAGACCACTAGGGGTCCATGGACCGCAGTTTGGGAATCACTGGTTTAGAGTACAAAATACATTTCTTTTTATTTTTATCCCAATATTAATGAGTATAACTTTGTTCATGGCCATACAGTAAGGTATTTTTCTCATGAGAAATTTTATGTAAGAAAGATTGTTATACTAGAAAAGTTTTTATGAAGGAGACTGCTAATATCTGACCCACCCACATTGGTGCTGAAAGTAGAGTGGTGGTGGTGCAGCAGCACCACCTGGTTTGCAGTAGTAATAGTAACCAAATACATGGATTCCACTTCTAATATTTCTACTTTAAAAATTGTTCTAGCACCTCTGCCCACCCATATCCATGTAGATTAATGAGAATGCAAAGCAGCATTAACAGTTCTTGTATCTTCAGTGTTTGCTTTGAGGCTGTGTGGGGTGAATATAAGGAGAGTTGCATTTTAAATGGACATGGGCCAAGAATACACAAATCAAGCCTAGGCTTTCAATTATTAAATGACAGAATTTTATTATCTGCTCTTACAAGGTTTTTGACTTGGAATGGTGCAAGTTTTTCCAAGCTCAGTGATCTTGTGAGAATTCTGCCATATTGGACTGAAATATTGTAAGAATGTCTGTTCTTGTGGGTATGTCTACACTGCCACCCTAGTTCGAACTAGGGTGGCTAATGTAGGCATTCGAAGTTGCAAATGAAGCCCAGGATTTAAATATCCCAGGCTTCATATGCATCTTGCCAGGCGCCGCCATTTTTGAATCCTTGTTAGTGCGGACTCTGTGCCCGCGGCTACATGCGGCACGGAGTAAGTAGTTTGAATTAGGCTCTCTAATTCGAACTACCGTTACTCCTCATGGAACGAGGTGTATCGGTAGTTCGAATTAGAGAGCCTAATTCGAACTACCTACTCAGTGCCGCGTGTAGCCGCGGGCACGGAGTCCGCACTAACGGGGATTTAAACATGGCGGCGCCCGGCAAGATGCAAATTAAGCCCGGGATATTTAAATCCCGGGCTTCATTTGCAACTTCAAATGCCTACATTAGCCACCCTAGTTCGAACTAGGGTGGCAGTGTAGACATATCCTGTGAGAGATTTGCTGTGTCCAGACTGGAACCAGAAAATGGCTTCCTCCTAGTTTTTCATTAATAGTGTAAGCAAAGATTTAAAGGATCTTCACATTTGGATACAATTCCCTTTCTCTACAAAATTGGATGTCTTTCTAGACATTATGCCCTAGCTCAACCACAGGATAAAAGCACGAGCCCCACTGTCATGTGGGGAGCATAGCCCCAGCTGTAGTTGTGGGACAGGGGCACATAGCAACAGCTTTGGCCATGGCTGTGGGGAAGCAGTCATGCTCCTGGCTCTGGCTCTGGCCCTGGCAGCAGCCATGGTAGGGAATGCATAGGCCCAGTTCCAGGCCCAGTGGGGGACAGGTGGGTTGAACAACAGTGGGGACCGCCCACAGCGTATGGCACTGACTTTAGCGCCAGCTCAGAGGAGAGGGGTTGCACATGGCTGTAGCACCGGGGATGCACAGCTCCAGCTGATGTGGCACAGTTCCAACTTTAGCCCCAGCTATACAGCAGGGGCTCATAGCCCTGGCTGCAGCAAAGGGGGAGGAGGAGTGCACACACAGTCCCAGCCCTGGGGAAGGGGCTCACAGCCCTGGCTGCAGCCCTGGCCGAAGGCACACAGTCTCAACTTCTGCCCTGGCTTTATTCCCTGACGGGTGAAACTAAGGAAGTCATGGAGGCCCAATAAAGTCACAGTGACTGCTGTGACCTCTATGACTAAATTGTATCTTTAGTTATGACCTTCCTCTGTTCGTCATATGAAAGCTCTTTAAAAAAATAAAAATGGAGAACATTCTTCAAACTATTAGAGATGTTTTCTCCATGGAAAATCTCCACTTTGGACTGTTATATAGAAAATAGAATGTGTCTGGAAAATAATAATTTGCCATCTTAATGGTCACGTACTACAGTGATATGCTGGACTGTGGGAAATATTTTGCAACAACTAAAACACTCTTGGTAACTAGGTACATACCAAGGAAAAGTGTAGGATTCAGAGCCTTAAATTACCATAGTTTGGTGAACTTAAATGTTTTGTTTGTGAGGGTGATGGCTGCCTTAGAGGATGAATATAATTGCATTATCAATAAAATAACTGATTCACTTTGCTATTGCACACAGAAATCTTGATAACATTTTTGCATTGTGTAGAATCCATTTTAAAAATGTTATTTTTATAACTGACGTCTTTTACTTTTTTCTAGAATATGTATTCTCACTTGTGATGATTTGATATTATAAACCCTTCATTAACCATGATGGCAACACAGACATTAAGTATAGACAACTATCAAGATGGACAACAAGTGAGAGCATTTTTTTCTCCTCTGTGTACTGCATTGTTCTTAACAAGTGAACAATTACTTTTTTATTTTAGGTTAGACACTTTAGAGTGTATGGTTTCTGATGTAATGTGGCATCTTTGAGCAGTGATTCTTCAAACTGCATTCAAATTAACATTAGTCTGGGGGCAAGTCATGCCACTAATCCACACTCTGAAGACTTGTGCTACATGCCAGTGTGAGCAGAAGGAACAAGTCTTCCTGCCAACACGTGAAGCCAGTGTTGAACTATGAAAAGAAAAATTGACTTGTTGCTTCTCTTATAAAGAAGCTTGCTTAACTAAACAGTCAGTATTCTTTTATTTCCAAAGAGGCAGTTCTCTGGATTGCTGTCCTCTCTTTGGAATACTTCCTGCTTTTATTTTGGAGAGGTTCGACCTATTAATTTTTTCCCCCACAAACACTTTTCTTTGACAAGTTTATCTACTTTAGAATACTTACGTGCCTTGGTAAAGAGCTGGTGGCAGTGGCTACTCCTTGGGGAATTCTGCACCAAAAACTTAAAAAATCAACACCATAAATTAAAAGTTCTGTGTACAATAGTTTAATATTTTGCCTATTTTATTTATCAAAATAACACAATATAATCATGCCAGTTTCAGTTATTTTGGAAACTTATTCAAAACTAGCCAATTAGCCCATCATAAGATGGGATTTTCAGGTCTCTCCTCCATGTTGGTCTTCTCTCCTGAGCCTCCGGTCTCTCGCTCCGTCTCTCTCTCTCCTCCTCCTACTGCCTCCCTCCCCCCTCAGCTCTCCTCCACCTCCTGGCTCTTTCTCTGTCTCTTTCTTTCACTTCTCCTCCCCCTCCTGCCTCTTACTCGGGGTACTGCGGAGCCCAAATGGCCGTTTGTGCTATGCACCCCCGGTGCTGCATGGGGGGTAAGGAACCCAAACGGTCGCTTGCGCCGCTTACTCCCATGCGGCAGCCTGGCTGAGCAGTGCAGAACTCAGCTGAGCGCCACGGCGCACGTCACTGCTTTGCCTCCCGCCGTGGCGCTTGGCTGGCTTCTGCGCTGCTCAGCCAGGTCGCCGCATGGGAGCAAGCGGCGCAAGCGACCGTTTGGGTTCCTCGCCCCCCTCCCCCGCCCCCCATGCAGCATGGGCCGCCCAGAGGGAACAGCCAGCATTTCAGCATTACAAACTCACAGACACTGGGCTACTATATATATGATACCTGTCAGCAAGTATGTAATTTGAGTAATAATTTATTTAAATTACAGTACAAAAACCTGTTTTTCACCACCTCAGAAGCCGTGGAAAGGCTCAGGAAGGGTAATGGCCCCCGCCCCCCATGCAGCATGGGCCGCCCAGAGGGAACAGCCAGCATTTCAGCATTACAAACTCACAGACACTGGGCTACTATATATATGATACCTGTCAGCAAGTATGTAATTTGAGTAATAATTTATTTAAATTACAGTACAAAAACCTGTTTTTCACCACCTCAGAAGCCGTGGAAAGGCTCAGGAAGGGTAATGGAGGAAATGAGAGAGAGGGAGGAAATGAGGGAGAGGAAAGTAATTGCTGGGAAGGGACTTGAGTGTAAACTTGGAGGGCTGTTCGGTGTGGGTGGGGAAAGTCTTAAGCAGCTGTTTTGCTAGGGAGCCTTCCCCATGTAGACCCTTGCTGATCTCTAGCTTTTCTCATTCCATCAGGCACATCTGCCCCATCCCCATGTGTCCCTGCACCTCCACTCCCATTCAGCTCCCACCTAGTCTGTTCCCCCTGCTAGCCCTTCTGAGCTCTAGTCTGTCACCTCCTACCAGCTCTATATGTCCCACACTATCTGACCTCTCCTCTCCTGTGCCTCCTGACCTAGCCCCACAAGCAGGGCACTTTGAGGAACACAGCCTTTTTATTCCCTACCCAAAACTGTAGCTGCTTACCCAGGAGCTTGTTCTCTGTTCTGGCACCACAGTGACCCCTGATGTGAGAAAGGTATAAATATAGCACTTCTTGGCAGAGTGTATTTTGTGCTGAGGAAGAAAATTCAGCACAGCACGAGTTCTGCCCATGCACAGAATTCTCACAGAAGCAAAGTGGCGGTTTGCTCCCTAGGCGCATTCTGGAACAAGGTTGTCTTCTGATTTTTTGTGTATTTTGTCTTCTGTAATTAGCAGGAAACAGATGAACGCATGTAGTCTCCAGTTTCAGGTATACTTTTTTCCCCCCACTGACTCAAGGAGAAGATCCCTCCACTTACAGACTCTGTAAAAATATGGCCCAACTGTTATCATTTCTAAGTATGAGGCTGTTTCCCTTTGCCCCTCATTCCTTTTTTAGCTAAAAAATTAGTCCATTGGTAATGTCTTTCTCCAGACATAGTGACTTCTAGATCAGCTAAATTTTCAGAGAGAACTTCTTGAGGGTCATGACATTCTGCCATTTTCTCAAAATTTCCTATTGAGCAAGAAGAGTGCTCATGTCAGACAACAAAGTATATAGCCTATGCAAGATTCGCTCCGGGATAGCATCTTAAATTCCTCCTTCATTGCATGCAGAATGAGGTGGAGTTTTGTCTCTAGGTGATGTTGGAACTGGTTACTCTAATAATTACTTGGCTGACTCTTCTTTCAAAGAATTGCTGCTGAAAACAAGATTCTGACAACTCTTATGAGGGTGGATCCTTCTGTATTTTTTTTTTAATTTAATTTTTCTTCTGAGGTCTTGATCCAAGTCTAATGGTGGTGTTTAATGCAGTGTCTCTTTTCTGCTGAAGACACAAACTACTATGGTTCAAGCAGAAGAAGAATCTTCCGGTGTCACTGGCTCAATGACCCCATGGGGGACATGACTAATGCTCTAGTAGAAAGAAAAATGCAGTCTTTATTGATGGGAAGATTGGATTCCATGGAGGATAAATTCTTCAAGTGGGAAGATCTTTGTCCCCCTTAAGCAAGCTCTTAGTCTAAAGATATCATGCTGTAGGTGAAGAAGAATGGAGATCCTATTTTAGAAAGCCATCAAAGTCTCAAAGGCATTCTCAGTCCATTGGTGCCATTCAGGATGTAGTATATGTGCAGCTAGAATTGCTGTAACAGTGTTCTTGGGGGACTACAATATACCCATACGATCATGGAGTAACACACAACTACACAAAGATTACGGGCCTCTGTATGCTGTTGTTAATGTTTAAATTATGACTCTTTAGATTTATCTTTTAAGGTGCTTTGCTGATTTCCTGGTTCGCATCTTTTTTTCCCCCTCTTAATATTGCAACCCTTACTTGTGCCCCTTATTCTCACACAAACTTCAGAGTACCTGTTCACACTGATAGTATCTCTCTAATACACACTATTGCATGCTTTTTTTAGTAGGACCCAACCAAATTTACTGTCTGTTTTAGTCATTTCACCATCATAGGATTTTTAAAATAGTACATGTCATTATTTCAGCTCTTTAAATCTAAAATTTCACAGTATTATAATTGTAAGGGTACTGGCCCAAAAAGGAGTTAATCATGGGGGGTAGGGAAGATTCCAAGGTTATTGTAGGGAAGGGTTGCAGTGTTGCTACTCTTACTTGTGGGCTGCTAATGGCAGCAGTACTACCTTCAGAGCTAGGTGGCTAGAGAATGGAAGCTGCTAGCTAGAAGCCCAGCTCTGAAGGCAGAGCTACCACTAGCAGTAGTGCAGAAATAAGGATGGCATGGGATGGTATTGCCATCCTTACTTCTGCGCTGCTGCCTGCAAGAGCCGAGCCTTCAGTCAGCAGTTGCCACTCTTTGTCCACTCAATTCTGAGGGCAGCAGCACAGAAGGCAAGGGTAGCATGGCATGGTATTGTCACCCTTACTTCTGCATCCTTCAGGCAGGGCACTGGCTTCAAAACTGGGTGCCTGGCCAACTGCTGCTCTGCAGCAACCCAGCTCTGAAGGCAGCAGAGTATGAGTAGCAGTACTTTGACCCCCACTAAATAACCTTTCGACCCTCCTGCAACTCCCTTTTCATAAGGACTCACAGTTTGAGAAATGCTGGTCTCCTCTGTGAAATCTGTATAGTACAGGTGAAAGCACACAAAAGATGGATGGAGAGACCAGATTTCATGTTGTGTTTTTCATGGCTGTGAATTTGATAGGGCTCTATTGGTATCTTTCACCTAACTTAATTTTAATTTGTTTTCATTGTTCTTTTTTAAGCTAAGTTCTGTATGGATTTGAAGATGAGCTCATTTAGGGCAGGTCTACACTACGAGGCAATGTCAAAGTAAGGTACGCAACTCCAGCTATGTGAGTAGCGTAGTTGGAGTCAACGTATCTTAGGTCAGGTTGCCATGGGGTTTCTTCTGTAGCGGGGGTCAATGAGAGAGCTAAACCCGCTAAATCAATCTCTAGGGGATCAATCACCGCAATGCTGATCTTAAAATATTTTTAACGGAAGTTACTTCGATGTTCCATTCTGTTGAAAAACTAGTAAATATTGTTGTTTTAGTACAATTACTTTTATTTTTGTGCTTTTTACATTGAATTCCTCTATTGTTGAATATCATCTGCATAGGTAAAAGTTTAGAGGCAAATTGTAAGGCAAAACTTCATTTCTGACTAGAGAAGGAATGCAATAAGTGCTATATTTCAATTTTGTATACCAAAGTGTAAATTTTAATGGATGAGGAAACTAGCTCCAGAGTCGCCATTTGCATCATTGTCTCTCTGGAAAGAGAGAAGATAATCAATAGGAGGGTAAAGGTTTTTATTGTGGTTTCACCACAAAAGCTGTTAATCCAAGCCTTTTCATAAACTCATTTTTAGAGCAATATATGGCAATCCTGTTTCAAAAATAGCTGCTTGTGAGGGACAAAATGCTTTAGCATTTTACTAATATCAATCATTCCTATTTTAAAGCTGAGAGCTGAAACTTGAAATGACCTTTTCGCTATCCAGCAAAAAGTGTCAAGGATTAAATGAGTTTCTTGTTACTGCTTCTACTTTTTGTATAATTGCCAAATCATGCCAACCTTCTGGCAATTTACTAGCTTTTTGCATTACTATTTACTTAGAAAACAGTGTTCTTCCTAATAAATCTTTGTGCTTCGTGACGTAAAGTAACTTATCCTCCTTTTTCTGCAGATGCAAGTAGTAACAGAGTTAAAAACTGAACAAGATCCAAACTGCTCTGAAACTGATGCAGAAGGAGTGAGTCCTGCCCCTATAGAATCTCAGACACCAATGGATGCAGACAAGCAGGCCATTTACAGGTAGTATTAGGAACTTTGGCTGTGTCTTTGAAGAGTAAAAAGTATAGTTTGGGGCATGTTTTTGCTTTCTTTCCTTTCATCTTGGCAGATTACAACCAAATGAGTGGTTGTTTGCAAATAAACGATGAGTAAGTTCAAACAAAATAGTTTTTTGGATTCTTAACTTAAGACAAATAAATTCCCTAAATTTAGGATTCTGCTGCATGATCTTGAAGACTATTATGAAGTGCACATATGTCAGTTATTAAAAAGAGATATTGCTATAGGTATAATGGACAGCAAGTATCAAGGTTTAAATTAGCTATATTTTGTTTAGATTATTGACAGATGTAAGTTTAACTCCTACTGTTCTTTTATCTTTAGGGTAGTAGTGTTAACATCAATAGTATGAGATCTTTTCTTATTTTAGTTTGGGTTTTAATTTAGGTTAAAAATATATAAATAAAAATGTGCCTCTTCTCACAACTCTGTAGTACAAAAATACTTCTTAGAACTTTTCATTTGAAGATATTAGTATGCCTAAACTGCAAAGTGATGATGTAACTGTAATATGGTTAGGCATAACTGCAGTTAGCTTTAATTTAGCGTGTTTGGATAACAATAGCAGTATAAAAACATAGTGACAAGGACTTTGGTATGGGGTAACAACCAGAGTGCAAGATGGGTTACTGGGCCATTCTGAAATCTATGTTGCTGTGTGTACACTGCTATTGTGACCTGTGCTAGCTAAATTAAAATTAGCAACGATATGCCTACCCATACTACAATCACACTTTTACATTTCAGTATAGACATACCAAAAATGCTTTACAAAGGCACTGTTATTGACAGTTTTCACATAGGGAAAATTGATACTTATGAATGGTAAGTGACTTAGCCAACATAGTGAGACTTTCATAATACAGGCTGTTCTTAATTGTACCAAACTCAAAGGTGATTTTGTAATATTCAAATGAGGAACATAGTGGAGACCAGATGGATGCTCTCAGGCTTTTTTTTTTTTTTTTTTTGGCATGTGTGATTTAAATCTTGTTTCCTCCTGTTTGTCAGTGCTAATCCACCGTACATTGTACTAATACCCCACCTTCTGCTAACTTACAATTAATAAAATGGCATTCCATAGCTTCATAAATGTAATAATGATTACTTCTTATTAATAATGTCCAATTAAAATAGTCATGCTTTCTCAGATAGCATTAGTTGTGTCAAAATCTTACATAGTTTTACTCCGTTCTTTTAATAACTCACATGTATTTTTGGCTAATATTGTCATATGTGTTGTGTATAATCTGTTCATAAAAAATTGCTTTTCTGGGTGAATGGTGGCCAGTTGTTTTGTATACATTAGACTGGATAGCTAACATTATAAAATAGAAAATATAAAGTTAAAAAAAATGATGTGATTTTATTTATTCCTAGGCACCCACTGTTTCCATTGTTAGCACTATTGTTTGAAAAATGTGAACAATCTACACAGGGTTCAGAAGGCACTACCTCTGCTAGTTTTGATGTTGATATTGAAAATTTTGTAAGAAAGCAGGAGAAGGAAGGAAAACCCTTTTTTTGTGAAGATCCAGAAACTGATAATTTAGTAAGTATAATGCTTTTTTAATGAAAAAATAACACTTCTCCCTCTTATTTCCAATTAGTTCTCTCAACTGTTGCTCCTAGTAGAGGACCACATCTTTTATACTTACAAAAACACATTGTTAAAATTGCAAATACTGAATTCTGAAACTAAGATCAGAAAAAGTCTGCAAACAGTTTTTCAAGTTATCTTTTTTTCCCCTCTCTACAAACATCCTTCATTTTGATCACTTGCCTCACATCTTCCAATAGTTATTTCCAATATATGCTCCTCAAACAGCTAAATTGATATATTTAGAGATGAGTTAAGACATATACCCTCTACAATCCAATTGATTGTACATAGTAATTTCTCAGAAGTCAATTAGAAAGGGTATGTAGAACAGTAGAAGCAATAATTTTCTAGTCATATTTTTCTGTTGTCTGTTCTTTGCCTTGATGAATCTACGCTGTACGAGGGAGGAAAAGTTAGAAACTTTGCTCACTAACTTTTATATATACAAATAAGTCTGAGGCATGGTATACAATAGTAATATAAACAAAGATTTGTTTTAAAACTAGGGGGCTATGCTCCCTGCTCGCTACACTTGCCAGCCCCCTGTCCTGGGGTAGGCAAGCCCAGTTCTTCCTTCCCCTTTCTTCCAGCTAACAGGGGCCAACCCCAGCCTCTTGCTCCATTTGTTGATCAAGTTAGAAATGTGGAGTATAAACCTGTGGTATTCATATATTCATGCTAAGTGAAGGCCATTAATGGCACTTAAGAGCTATAATGGCCCATTAGTACACTGACCATCCATCCCAGAAAATCCAGGATAGTCCCAATTTTTAATCTTTTGTCCCAATGTCCCCATGAAGCACTGAAATGTCCCAAAAAGTCCCGAGACTCCAAACGCGGCTGTTCGTGGTTGTTTCTCCTCTCCCACTCTTGCTGGGGGTATGTCTACACTACCCTCCTAATTCGAAATAGGAGGGTAATGTAGGCATACCGCAATTGCAAATGAAGCCCGGGATTTGAATTTCCCGGGCTTCATTTGCATAAAGCCGGCCGGCGCCATTTTTAAATGCCGGCAGTTCGAACCCCGTGCCGTGCGGCACGGAGTAGCTAGTTCGGATTAGGCTTCCTAATCAGTGCTTTTCCGGAAAAACTATGCTGCTCTCATTCGGAAGATCATGCCAGTGTAGACGTAGCCTATAAGTACACAGTATAAGTCGGCTCCTGGGGACTGCAGAGCTCTTGTAACTGTAATATTTAAATGGTTGCACTCTCACATTCCTAGTTCTTATGTCAACCATAAATTATGAATTACAGTATGTACCATGAATTATTAGTGCTCTTGCTAGGAGGGCTTGCCGTGAGTTGCAATGGCAGCATTTCCTTCCTTATCACTCTTTAAAATATGTATTTATATATCCAGGTGGAGTGGGCAGGAACTTTAATTACAAGATTGATTTCTTCTTCCCACACCCATTTTTCTGTCTTTGGCCCCAGCTTATTAAGAGTGTGTCTAGACTACAGGGTTTTGTCGACAAAAGTGGACTTTTGTCAACAAAACTATACCTGCGTCCACACTACCGCTGAGTTCTGTCGACATAACGTCGACAGAACTCAGCAGTTTTGTCAACGCTGGTAAACCTCATTTTACGAGGCATAACGCCTTCTGTTGACAGAGTTTCTGTCGACAGAAGGTGTTATTGCATGTAAACTGTCCTTTGCATCTACACTACCATGTCGACAAAGCAGCTTGCTTTGTCGACAGAACTGAATGTAGTGTAGACGCTCTTTGTCGACAGAAGTTTTGTCGACAGTATCTGTCGACAAAAGCCTGTAGTCTAGACGTACCCTAAGGGAAAAGAAGGCAGACAACAGGGGCTTTTACCAGAACAGCACAGAAAGACTCAGAGTAGGCCAGACAGCTACAAAACTCCCTTCCCTCCAGTCTAGGCTCCATTGCATTTCCTGAGTAATCATAAACATGTTGGGGATAAATACCATTTCAGTAGTACACTATCCTCTTGGAACAGAAGCTGGTTTAGGAAGAGCCATGAATTTCAGTATTGATAGAAAAGTGGCCACATATTTCAGTTCCAGCAGACAAACCATGATGTGGGCTGAGGAGAAAGAGCTTTCTCTTTACTATTTTTTCTAAACAGCTTTCAGAATTTAGAGTTGATGGGCATTCTTTTGTAGCAGTAACATAATTTTTGATGTCAGTTGAGTCCAAGTCATTAAGGTGGCCTCCTCTGAGTCCTGTATCTGACATGTGTTTCCAATATATCCCTGGCAGGATATATAGAGGTGGTGTTGCTAATCCAGGCAGTTATTTATCAGATGAGCAGTAGAATAGAGCAGACAAAAAGAGGATCGTGGTAAAAGTGGACCATGTTTCCTTCATCAGAATTATAGTATTGACTAGAGAAGAGACAGGCAAGATATGGCCTGAGGGCCCACCAAGCCTTTTAATTGTGTCTGCCTGCCTGCCATTCAAATCAGCTGGCTTCTCCCTGCACTGTGTCGGGAGGGGAAGCAGGGAAAATGCAGGGGAAAGGCTTTGCACGCTGCCCCTGCGCCCATAAAAATCTCTCTGCTCCTGTTGGCTGGAAACTAGCCAATAGAGATTTTACTGGGGTGGGGTCAGTGAGCAAAGCCTCTCTTCTTCCCCTCCTGCATCGCAGAGAACCACATGGTACAGCCAGCAGGGGGCTGCTGGCAGGCATGGAAGTCTGCTTGAGTGTGATGCTGGCTGGGAGTTGCTTAGGTAAGCACCTCCCAGCCAGAGAGTGCCTCTGGAACCACACCCGTCCTGCACCAAACTCCCTCCTTGAATATCCTGCTCCCATACCCCATCCTGGATCCTGCACTCCAATTCCCAGCCCCAGGTCACCACCCATGCCCTTTACAAACTTCCTCCAATCCCCACCCCATGTCATAACTCCCTCTCAGGCCCTGCATCTGCTCCTTCATCCCTCCCCCAGGCCAGAATCCTCTCCTCTCCCGTACCGCCTCGCAGACCCTGCACCCCAATCTTCTGCCCCAGATCACAACCCCCTTCATCACCCAAACTTTCCCTCAGACCACACACCCTCTCCTGCACCCCAGTCCCCTACCCTAAGCTCCCTTCTGCACCTAATCTCTGTCCCAGACCCTGAACTCTCTCCAGAGAAAAGTGCAGCCTTAGACCAAAATCTTATAATGTTCCCCCGCATCAAAACTTATTGCTCACCCCTGGATTAGAGGCTAGAAGAGACTATATCCATAGGAAAAGAGATCTTGAGACAAAAAGGGGATCATGGTAAAAGTGGACAAAGTAATGAGCAATGTATAGAATGGGGTGGGCAATAATTTTTAATGGAGGGGCCACTCCAAGATCTGGGTAAGTGGTCAAGGGCCACAGTTCTGTGGAGGGGGTGCAGGGTCTGAGATGGCAGATGAAGTGTAGAAGAGAGCTTGGGATAGAGGACTGGGGTACAGGAGGGAGTGTGGAGTCTGAGAGGAGTTTGGGTGAAGGAGGGAGTTATGAACTGGGGCAGGGGCTTGAGGTGCAGGTTCCAGGAGAGGTTATAGGTGCAGTAGAGGATTCTGGCCTGGGGGAGAGGTGTAGGAGGGGGTGCAGGATCTTGGAGGGTGTTGTGACCTGGAGGAAGTGGGGAGAAGGGATACAGAGGGTTTGGGTGGTGACCTGAGTCAGGTAGTTGGGGAGGGGAAGAATGGGAGGGGGGGGGATGCCAGAGGCAGGCTTTGGCTGGGAGATGCTTACCTAAGCAGCTCCTGGTCAGCAGCTCTGCAGGAACCTGAGACAGGCTCCCTGCCTGTTTGCTGGGCAAGCTGCTCCATGTGACTCTGCTCCAGCACAGGTTGGGGGGAGGGAGGGAGATTGAGAAGCTTCGTTCTCTCCCCCTGCCTTCAGCAAAATTTCTCAGCTCCTATTGAACAGAAACTGGTCAATGGGAGCTGAGGGACTTTGCTAGGGGGTGGGTACAGCACACAAAGCTTTCGCCTCACTGCCCAGACTGCATAACAATTAGCAGCCTGCAGTTTAAAGACGCTGTAGCTGCTTTGTAGTAAGGGTGCCAGCGAAACAGCCCCAGGTCAGATCTGGCCCACTAGCTGCCTCTTGCCTGCCCCTGGCTTACACATATTTTGTCTCTCCAAACATCCTTGTTTGATGAACAGGAAGTCTGATGATTTTATGATAGCAATTCAACTTGTCTAAGGCTTCTAGATTTTTTCCCACCTGCTTGCCCCTGGATTCTTTGTACTGTGTTCATTGTAAATGATAAAATTCTGTAGGCAAAATAAAATTACACATGTATTTCTATTATCTTCAAATTATCCTCTGAGTGATACCAGTTCAATCCTCTTAGCTTCAGTGAGTTTGTACTGAGATAACAGATTGGAGTTTTGTAAGCAATCCTGTTGATGCACAAGGTGAAATGGGGTGAGCTGAGGCATATATTCTTTATTTGATGTGTTTAAAAGTCAGAAAACAACAAAGCATTTTTGTTACTAAAGTCAGCAGATATGGCTGAATACACACTCAACAGATTTGCTCCTATAAGATGATGTCAGTTTTATGTAATCTTTCTTTAGAATGGAACTGTGTTTTAAAGCATATGATTACAGATACGTTTGTATTCAAAGGATGGCATGAATGCTTGCTTATTTATTTGCTGACCTGCTCTTTTCTCGTCTAAGAACTAAAGATTCCTCTCCCACTTTTTCGTTTTCACATCTCAGTCCTTGAGGCATTATGTTGCTGGCAATGTCCTTTTAGATAATAGATTGGCATCAATTGGTCCAAGTAATGGGTAGTACTCTTCCTCATCATGGTGTACATAGCACTTACAGTTTCTCCTGGCCAAGGAAGTGAGGGAATTGAATTGAAGAATAAATCTCATTGTTCTGAGTATAGCTCAGAGTACTACTGTTACACGTGTCCCAAACATTTTATAAAAGTTGTTTAGAAATAGAGACGGTAGCCAACACAAGAAAACGATATGCTGTATTTGTGATTGTTCTGTCTTTGACAGTTCACCTAAGCAGTGGAGCAATACAGGATTTTGTTCTAAACGCACTTTTCAGACTCCAGTAAAATACAACCTGAGCCAAGAGTATTGTGAGCAGCATTCTTCTGAAAAGTGAAATAATATATTATTACATATTTTTAAAATTTGCCCCAAATTAATTATTCATGCAAGTAATAGTGTTTTCTTGTCTTGTTTCTAAGTCTTTTTTCCATCTTCCTCTCTAGATGGTAAAGGCAATCCAGGTACTACGTATTCATCTGCTTGAGCTAGAAAAAGTTAATGAACTCTGCAAGGATTTCTGTAGTCGTTACATTGCCTGTCTGAAAACTAAAATGAACAGTGAAACTTTGTTAAGTGGAGAACCTGGAAGTCCTTATTCACCTGTACCATCACAAGTACGTTTCACGTAGCTTAAATGGGCTTTTGATTAGAAATACTGCAAAATGTATTAATACTTTTTTGCTGCACTTTGTAAGAATTTCTCTAATACGCAGCTTGCTGTGTGTTCTTTGGATTTTTTTTTACGTGTATTTGGTAGGTTGCTGAAATATCTCTTTACAATAGCTAATCTATCTTATAAAGCTTCAGGGGGGTAGCCGAGTTAGTCTGTACAGTATAAACTTAAAAAACAACAAATGGTCTGGTAGCACTTTATAGACTAACAAAATATGTAGATGGTATCATGAGCTTTCGTGGGCACAGCCCACTTCTTCAGATGACCAGAGTCTATATGTTTTGTTAGTCTGTAAAATACTATCAGACCATTTGTTGTTTAAATTTATCCTGTTTTATAAAGTAATCTAAGAGGTGATGATTGCTTAATTTCTGTTTTTAAAGCTCTTTCTTTTGCTTTTGGTACCTTAAAATGTGGAGAGAAAAGTTTGAAATTAGTTTGAAATTATTAAAACAATTGCTGATTCTTCTTTGGGTGATGTCCCCGTGGGTGCTCCACTGTAGATGACGGGTCTTCCCTGGAGCTGCAGGATCGGAGACTTTTTCATAGCAGGTAGCAGTTGTGCTGCTGGCATTTTGACAGCTGAGGGTGGCCCAAATCCGGACCCTCAGTTCCTCCTTCTACCACCCTCGCAGAGCTCTCCTGCCTCTTCAGGCACTTCTCTCCTCTCAGAAAAATTTCACTCTCTTCACAACTTTTTGACCTCTCTCAATTACAGATCACCTTTTTACTTTATTTCCACTTCAAAGGAAAAACAACAACAACCGGGGAACACGCTGTTCCCTCAGCACTAGCGGCTTCAGCAGCAGCGGCTTCTCTCTGCCCTAGCCGGTTACCCTCCTTGGAAAAAAAATAAAAATAAAGAAGGGGGGGAGAACAAAACCTCATAAAATGGCAGCCTCTACATATGAGCTCGTCAGCGTTTGAATTAAGAGCCGCCTCTTCTCCCATTCTCAACCTCAACCACCATCAGCTTCTAATATGCCTGGTTCACAGTGGTTTAAGAAATGCAGCAAAAACCCATCCCAGCTTCAAATGGTCATAGCTGCTGTATTAGATGTCTGGGGGAGTCACTCCCCACAAAAATGCGAACATTGTAAGAGTTTGTCTGCCAGAGCAAAAAAAGAGCAGAAGCTTAGGCTCTGCATGTTCCTTCTGGAGAAGGCTTTACAGCCTACGGCAGAACTTGCATGGGACCAAGTGACAGATCCTCCCAAGCGCTGATCAGCCTCTCTGAGGCCTCAGGGACATTAGAGAACCAGGGTCTTTCCTTACCGCCTGATCCATCCTTACCGCCTGATCCGTCCCTCAGAATAACCAGGGGAGACGTGGCGGCCATCTCGAGCTTTGCTGTGCCGAGGTCTGCCTCAGAATCACCCACTCCAGCACCGAGCATGAACGCAGGAGCTGCGTGCTCATCCTCCGCACAGGGGAAAGCACACAGACAAGCCCCAGTGCTGAAGCAAGCACCTACATGTGCAGCACTGGTGAGTGGAGTGGAGCCAGCCACAAAGCGGCCCCACAAATCATCTGCACCACCGCTCAGTGCAGCAGCTTCTCCAATGCCTCTCCCTCTGCAGGCTTTCAGCTTGCAGACAAACCAGACTGGCTCTAAAGAAAAGACAAACAGCGGGGACCTCAGAGAGAATGCTAGTGAGCACAGACAACCCTCCCCACTCCCATCAAGGGAGCAGTCTCCAGCACCATACCCATCTTACTCGCCACAACAATATGGACATGGAGACCAATTATGACCAGGATTGGAGTGCTTTCTCCTTGCAGCATTCATCTCCCACCCCATCTCAGCAAAGGCATCACTATACAACACGCCCATATCACCCTCAGTGGCATCCAAGCTGGTATTATCCATCTCCTCATTACCCGCCGCATTGAGCACCCTGGGATTATTGGGCACCACCTAAGTACCATTCCGCTGCCCAAAAAGGCTACCGCCATTTTCACCATCCCACACTATGGGATCCGTACCAGACTCAGAGGAGGAGGATGGTCAATTACCTGACGATCAGGAAGACACTCAGCTGGTGTAGTCAGAAGGCAGCCTTTTTTCCCTTCCTGAGGAGGCTATAGCCCCTGAGGATGAACATACTACAGCGGACTTGAAACAGTTTCAAGATCTTTTTAAGAGGGTTGCTACCTCCTGAAATAAAATTACAAGAGGTTAAGGAGAAACAGCACCATATCCTAAAGAAAATGTGCCCATCATTCCAGGGCAGAATCACATTGCCCATAGACAAGGCAATTATGGAAGTGTCTGAAGACATCTGGCAAGCACCAGCATTGGCCCAGCCATTTTGCAAAAAAGCAGATAGGAAATATTTTGTCCCACCTAAAGACTTAGACTTCTTGTTTTCTCATCCCTGGCTGGTCGTTGAGGCGGCAAGCCAATGGGCAAAGGCCCCTCACCTTAAACCAAATAACGGAAACAAAGAACTCAAGAGACTAGACCAATTTGGGAAAAAAGTGTATTCCTCTGCCATCCTGTAGCTTAGAATAGCAAACTCCACAATTTTGACAACTACTCCAAATTAGCTGACCTGATGGAGTTTTTACCAGACACCAAGAAGCCTATCCTCAGGGTGATCATACGTGAGGGTCACACAATTGCTCGCACAGTATTGCTTTCTGCAATTAATATTGCTGATACTGCAGCGAGAACAACCGCTACAACCATGGTTATGAAAACATCATGGCTTCAGGCTACAGGAATCCCAAAGGAACTTCAATCTAAGGTGGACGACCTCCCCTTCAACAAGCACAAACTTTTTGCAACTAACACCGACAAAATCCTGCACAACAGCAAAAATTTGTGTTCCACGTTGCGTACCCTAGGAATGTACACACCACCGTATCAGAGGAAGCGTTACACTCCCTACAATAGAAAGAGGAACTCATACTATGACTGTGCGCAATATAGACCATACAAATACAATCGTTCCAGACAGCGCATCCAGAGGAACCTCAAACAACAACCATGTTCCTGGTAGCCAGGCCCCTAAGCAGCAAATTTGAAACATCGGTCAAGGGCCCGCCCGACCTCCCCAACCATCCAGTGCAACAAAGGCAGAAACATCTATTTGACCGCAGATTGTGCCCATTTCTTCATCACTGGGCCTCAGTAACATCCGACCAGTGAGTCATGGGAATCTTCCGCATGGGATATTCAATTCCATTCATCCCCCTCCCCCCCACCTCGTCCCTCTTCAGGGTCCCCTCTCATGAGATACCCCTCAAGCAAGAAATCAATCGACTTCTCCATCTAGGGGCTATAGAGGCAGTACCCGAACCATACCGTGAAAGGGGGTTCTACTCAACTTATTTCCTAACCCAGAAATGCACAGGGGGCTGGAGACCAATCCTAGACCTCCGCAAGCTGAACAAGTTCCTGCGAAAGCAGCGATTCAAGATGGTCACACTGGCTTCAGTAATACCAGGACTGGACACTGGGGACTGGTTTGCAGCCCTTGACCTACAAGATGCATATTTTCACATTGCAATACATCCTGCCCATAGACACTATCTGAAATTCACAGTTGGGAACGTATATTTCCAATACAAAGTCCTACCTTTGGCCTATCCTCGGCTCCACGGGTCTTCTCAAAGGCCTAGCGGTGGTCGCAGCCTACCTTCGGCGTCAGGGGGTCGTTATCTTCCCATATCTAGACGACTGTCTGATAAAGGGCTGTTCCAGAATAGTATTATGTCTTTGGTTTCCAAAGACCAAATAACTTTTCAACCACTTAGGCCTCTTGATAAGTGAGCAGAAGTCTAATCTCAATCCAGTTCAAGACTTAGAATTCATAAGGGCTCGACTTGACTCCATATCAGCCAGGGCTTATCTCCCATGAAAAAGATTTGATGCGCTACACGACAGAGTCACTACCCTACTCGTCAGACCCACCATGACGGTGCATACTTGCCGTCAGCTCATGGGCCATATGGCAGACACCACCTGTGTGGTCCAATACACATACACTTCCGAGCCCTACAGCACTGACTGACATCAGTCTATACGCCATCGAGACATTTGCTGCACAAAGCAGTTGTTATACCCAGACACGACCTGGAATCTCTCAGATGGTGGACATACCCACACAACATGCTCAGATGGTGCCTGCCCTTTTTTCAGCCAGAACCATCAGTCCAGATTACAACCCGTGCCTCAATCCTGGGGTGGGGCGCACACCTACAGCACCACACAGCACAGGGCAAATGGTTGCCACATGAAGCGCTACTCTACATAAACCTTTTCAAGCTCAGGCTGTAATGAATGCATGCATTTTACCTCAACCATCATGAAGAGAACCATCCATATTCTTACAGACAACACGACCACCATGTTCTACATAAACAGACAGGGAGAATCACGTTCCTGATCTCTGTGCGGAGGTGGTTCGCCTTTGGAACTGGTGCATCCAACATGGGGTCACTCTAAAAGCAGCATACTTACCAGGGATGAACAACACCATGGCAGGTGCTCTGAGCCACAATTTCGCCATGGATCATGAGTGGGAACTCCACCCACAAGTGTTAGATTCCATCTTTCACAGGCGGGGCTATCCAACAATGGACCTTTTTGCAACCATGAGGAGTGCCAAATGCCTTCACTTTTGCTCATGGGCAGGACTGGGGAGGGGATCCAGAGGAGATGCATTCCTGATCCCATGGGATGAACTGATTTACTATGCATTCCTACCAATACCACTTATCTCCAGAATCCTGCGCAAGATCCATTCGGACGCAGCCTGAGTCATTCTAGTGCCCCATCCTGGTCCAGACAGACCTCGTTCCCTTACCTACAGTACATGTTCATTGAACCATCCTATCTGTTCCCTCAGTGGCGCAATCTACTCTTTCCGAATGCTGGCAAGCTGCTGCATCCAAACCCTCACACCCTTCATCTCCATGCCTGGCTGCTGTCTGGTTCCAAGATGTAGAAGTCTCCTGCTCGGAGCAAGTAAGAAATGTTCTCCTTCACATCAGGAAGCAAACCACTTATCTACAAAAATAGAAACGATTTGCATCCTGGTGTCGTTGCGGACAACTCAGTCCAGACAAGTCTCCGATACATACGATCCTTAACTACTGACACGACTTGAAGACTGGAGGCCTAAAAAGTACCATAAAAATACACTTGTCGGCTATTACTGCCTTTAATAACCACATTGAAGGGTCATTAGTGTTCGCACATCCCATGACAAAGAGATTCTTTAAAGGCCTCCAGAACTTCTACCCATCTCATAGAACACTAACACACGCGTGGGACCTGAATTTGGTTCTGGAGACTCTTATGAGACCCCTCTTTGAACTTATGGCCACATGCCCATTCTTACTTCTCACAATGAAGGTGCTTTTCCTAGTGGCAATCACATCCGCAAGGAGAGTCAGTGAGTTAGGAGCCCTAATGGTGAGCTTACCATACTCGGTTTTTACCAAAGATAAAGTGACGTTGAGACCACACCCAGTCTTTAATGTGAAAGCAGGTGTTGACTTTAGGTATAATGAACCCATAGTTTTACTTGCATTTTTTCCAAAGCCACATACATCACCTGCACACACCATGTTCCACACCCTTGATGTTAAAAGAGCTTTGGCTTTTTACATTGACAGAACCCAGACATTTTGCAAGTCCCCATGTCTGTTTGTCTCTATTACGAACTATTCCAGGGGCAGCCCAATTTCAGCACAACGTATATCTAAGCTGATAGTGGGTTGCATCCTTCAATGCCATTCCCTTGGTAACAAGCCCCTAAAGACAGCACCAAGAGCACACACTACCCATGCTACAGCAACATCCACGGCACTCCTTAACAGTGTGCCTCTTAAAGATATTTACCAAGTGGCCACCTGGTAATCAGACCATACGTTCTCAAAGCATTATGCTATCATGCCCCAAATGGCGGTTGACACATCAATGGCTAAGGTGATTCTATCTGCTGCTACGAAGCAGTGACTCGGAGACCCGCCAGCCGCAGTGAGCACTGCTTTATAGTCAGATACAGTGGAGCACCCATGGAGACATCACCCGAAGAAGACAAGGAAGTTACTTACCTCGTGCAGTAACGACTGTTCTTCGAGGTGTATGTTTCCATGGGTGCTCCATGACCCTCCCTTCCTCCCCGCTACTCGGAGTTCAATTGCTTTGCGGTAGACAAGCAACTGAGGGGAGAGGGTGGGCCACGCTCAACTGTCAAAATGCTAGCAGTGTGAGATTCTTGCTGCGCATGCGTGGCCCAACTGCTAACTGCTATGAAAAGGTCTCCAATCCTGCGGCTCTGGGGAAGACCCATCACCTACAGTGGAGCACCCTAGAAGATGCACCTCGAAGAACAGTCGTTACTGCACGAGGTGAGTAACTTCCTTTTGTATGGCTATTCGGTCTCAGTGCTGCAGGCACACATTTGTTTAACTTTACACCTGTATTTCCTCTGAAGTCAGTGGGACTATTTATGGGCAAAGTTAAGGATATGTACACACATTTTCATGATCAGGGTTTAGCAACATTATTTAAATTATATAAACTAGTACACAGTTTACATGGATTAAAATATATATTAAGGGTACTGTATACAATACCTAGTGCATTTTTAAGTCAGAAAGCTACAGAAGGAATTAAGTTATTCATTAAACCTCTAAACTCATTTGTAATTTAGACCCTTTGCATCTATTCTTTATCTTCCGTGTCTTTGGAAATTGTTACTTCACTTCTGATTTAGTTATGTATCAAAAAAATGTTATCCCCAAATATATCCAGATATTTCATAACATTCTTCTTCGAATGCTTGTTCATGTGCATTCCAATCAGGTGTGTGCATATGCACATGCAAAGTATCCGGAAGATTTTTTCCCCTACTAGCTAGCTGGATGCTCCCTGGAGTGGCATGTCATGGCACTCAATATAGATCCCTGCCAATCCACCTCCTCCTCAATTCCTTCTTACCACCAGGAACAGGAGCTGGAACTTCCCTGTGCCTCTCTCTTGGCTTTGCAAATGGATCAGCATGTTATTAATTCTTGTACATAGTTAACTGTTATTCTTAATTAGTAGTTAGTTTTAGTGTTAAGTAGTTTATAAGTTCGTTAGGGGCCCCATTTCCTACCGTTCTTCTAGGCATACTTCATTCCCTGGGCTTCAAAACCTGCAGTTGTGCACCAAGTGCATGCTGAAGAGTGAGCCTCACTCCTCCTGGCTGAAGTGCTTGGGTGAGGGTCACAAGAAGGACAGCTGCAAAATTTGTCTTGAATTTTGACAA